GAAATTGAGTGCCTGCAGTCGGTGTCCTGACAGAGATATCCGCACCAATGCGTGGCAGCAACTCATCAGACTGGAAAACGTCCTGAAAGTGAGCTGTGAGCCTCTACTCTGAATTATCTGGTGAATTAATTATGAATTAATTATCTGATGAACGTGACACGTTCTGGCTCTCTGTAAATAAAGCAAAGCCACTTCCTCGTCCGACATTAAACAGAGCCCCACAGAGGAGGGAGGGGCGGGGCGGCTGTCGCCGTGCAGCGCAGCAGTCCTGCGTCTGACCTCAAAGTGCACAAGCTTCAAACTTCAGCGTTGGCTGCGATTTTGACGCTGAAATTGCGTTCGGTGTGAACGCACCATAAGAGTTTTTGATAACTTGCTTTTATACTTAGGAGGAAATCTAAGAAATTTTCAACAAGTCTAAAATTCTACTCTAAGAAGTTTGACAAATACGGGCCCTGACAGTTTATGAAATCAACAGCCTCCATTGTCAGCAAATCTTTAGGTTCTGTAGAAAACTCATTCCTCATCATAAGATACGGGTCGCATTTGACATATTAACTAATTGCGGATATCTTTGTCTTGAAATGGGATCTAAATTTGTACAATACAGGCTTTCTACAACATTTTAACATTGCACATCATCAAAACCACGTGACTGAAACCCAGCTTTTGTACGCTCCCCTGTCAATGTTTGATCTTTATTTCCATAAGACGCTTCACAAAATTCATCATCAGTAATAAAAACCTCAACAAGTTTGTCAGAGTTAAATGGTGTCCAGTTCATGCAGCTGAGACGTGTCATTTGCCTATTGCCGATAAGCCCACAGGCTTGATTTACAGGTCAGGTCATCACGGCTGGGTATCGATTCAGATTTCCCAAATTGATTTGATTCACAAGGGCCCAATTCATTTCAAAATTCAGTTTGATTTATTTTTAAATTAGTTAAGGACATCAAGCAGTAACACATTTACTTTGATATACAAGACATTCTCAAAGGAACTAATTCTGCAAATTGTAGACACTAATTCTAATTTGGTGCACTAGTAAAATTATAAACATAAAGGGCAAACTTGTTAGTTTAATCTTGAAACAAAACTGTTTCAAGTTTCAAAAGGTTTAAAAAGGAATTGCAAGAGAAAGTGTTGTTGGATACATTAGATTTTTAAGAAACTAAGAATAATTTTCTTAATCGCTAAGAAGTGATGGAACAAGGCTACAGGGGAAGAGGTGGGATAATACACCGTATTTTTCGGACTATAAGCCGCGACTTTTTTCCTGAACTTTGAACCATGCGGCTTATAGACCGGTGCGGCTTATACATGGATTTTTTTCTTCAGCCACCAGGGGGCTCTTATGCTCCATTTGCTTCAACCACTCGCTTCAAAAAAAAAAAAGGAAAAAAAGAAAAAAGCAATCGCTTCCAGCGCCGACTGTTGACCAGGAAGCAGCGATTTAAAGATAGTCACTGGCCAAAAACTCATAAAAGGGGATAAAACAGACCTTTTTCACGGTGGAATCTGACTGATAAAAACTTTGGAGCTTAATCCAGGACCAGTTTGTGGATAAACGTTGAGTGAAGAGCCGCAGACTTTTTTTTTCCTCATTGCACTCCCTGGGGAAGGAATCCCATGCAGTGATGTATGCTGGAGCGGGAGGGCTTTCCCACCACAGCTTCAGAGCCAGCATTACCCCGGGAGGACAGCGACACAGAAAGCAACACTGAACAGATACCGTTGTGTGACGCAGCTTTTCTCAGCTTGTTTAACTCTGACACTGAAGAGGAGGACTTCGATGGTTTCAGTGCGCCAGAGGAAGATGAATGAGACGTTTTGTTGGACCAGAAACTGTTAAAGAAAACTTCCAAAATAAGGTCAGTTAAATGAACCGTATTCCTCCGAACTTTAATTCCTAAAGGTTTGCTTTTTATGTTTTGATGTTGAATTCACTTTTTTGATGGCAAATTTGGGTGTACTGTTTTTTTTTTTTMGMMGMGSGGCT